CTTCTAATTGGTTCGTTGTGCCGATTATTTCGGCGCAAACTCCTCGCGCCTGCCTCGAATGGCGTTTGTGCGGACGAGCGTGGAGAATTCGGAAAAAGCGACGCCGCTCCTCCCCGCCCCCGCACATCTGCACACCGAGTTTGCCAGGTTGTGCGAGAAAATGTGGGCTCCAATTGAGAAAAGAGCTGATTTTTTAGCATTATCTGGCAACCATGCTGCCCACCCTTCGGCGCCGCGGCGCGGTCGAATGACGGCCGCCGCGTGAAAGTTCCGGACTCCTCGCGCATCGCGCCTGGAATTCGCACAATGACATCTTGGTCCGTCCCGAGGTATCCGATGGCTCAAGTTCGCGTGCATGTCGCAGACTTTCTGATGCATCATGAGGGAGGGGGGAGGGGTTGACCAGTGAAAATTGAGTGGCAATTCAGCAAAAACACTGATGACGTCATAACAATTTTTTGGGAAACGGTAAGAAATAAATGGATTACATCTTGCAATAAGGAACCACAATCTCTGCCTCGTTAACGAAAGCACATTTCTGCATAGAGAAACTGATCATTCATTTGTTGCTTTTAAAATGAGCCAGAATTAGTGGTTCCTTGTTGAAAAATGTGATCCGAATGATGAAGATATTGCAAGGTTTATGTGCCGGTTACAGTGCTCGGTTAATTGAAAAAGCAATCTGTAGGGAAGAATGGCCGTTTAATTTTTCTGTATCGTGCAATTACAGGCTGCGAACCGTCATCCTTTTTTCGCAATGAAGAGGGATTTGTAGTTTATGGATGAAAAATCGATGAGGCACATGGACTAAAATAAGCATAAGCATAAAAGTGACCTCTGTGTTTCTAACCGTGCGTTAAAGTCTCTTTGAAAATTTTTTCTTTCCTTACCCCCACCAATGGGCCTTTAGACAAGGTATGAAATAAAGTATTACCTGACATGGTTTTTATTTAAAATTTTAAGAGAATGACGAATTACACAGCGAGAAATCTGCAAATCAACTTCTAATCAAGATATGAATGTTTACACTTAACTTTGGTGGGATGGCAAAAATACAAATGACATCATTTGTGTAATCTGACTTCCATTTGATATCTGTGTTAAAAATACTGGTAATATCTCGTTTAGGAGTGGATTTTGAAGGTTTCTGTTTTGTTAATCGTTTTCTACGTATGATTTTGAAGAGAAAGCATACTACATTCTTCTAAAGTTCAGACCTTTTTAGTGATCCATTAAGCCATGAGATATCAAAAACGTAAGAGAAAAAACGGGAATCAAGGCTAAAAATTACACTTAAAAATCCTAGACGTTTCGGCCCAAAACTGAGCCATTTTCAGTCGGAAGAATACGCTTACAATATAAAAATTACAAAAACATATAGAAACCTGTAGACCACGAGATGGCCGAGAAAATCAAAACAACTAATTATTTCATTTTTATGTGCAATTTTTAGCCTTGTTTCCCGTCTTTTCTCCTATATTTTTGATATCACCCTTGTCACGGGCTGCTGTTTTCAAAAAATTAACCCATTCAGCCATGATTTTGTATTGGATGTAATCAAAATTTGGCAACCGAGCATATGATGAACGGTGAGCGGGAAGCGGGAAGCTGTCAGGTGAGATGGGATTGAAAAGTCCAACTTTGGAGATGAGTGCCGTTGGTTTGAGCAGGAGCTTCCCATAGCGCTCCCCATACGCGAGAACCGTGCGGTGTCCGACTCGATGCTGGATGTCGGTCTAACTGGGCTCGGAATACTGTTAAACCGCCCGTCACGTCCGGGCTTCGAGGCGGCCGTGCTTGAGCTGAAATCGAATCAACTGTAAATTCTAAAACCAATCATGCCGCAGTGTGCACTTGTCGTCATTATCCCAAGCTCCCCGCTAATTTCTGGCCAGCATCACGGAACATCACGGCTAGCGGTTCTCTCGTCGGAGGGAAAATCCGCAATTTCCATTTTTCATCGAACGCCAAACTCCCATATCGATGGGTAAGTCCGGAAAATGCGGGATCTCAAATGTAACAGTTAAAAATCGCCGATAATTTGCTCGTTTCTGCGAGGAAAAGTAATCACCAACACTGAAAAAAAAAACACATTGGATCTAGAGTCCAGACTCTTAAAAACATTGGCAAGAAAAAATACTCTTGATTCAATCGGATTTTTGCTTGAATCAAAACGAAATCCGCTTAAATTAAGAGGCTTGGTTCTTGATTTAAGCTTAAATCTGGTTAAATCAAGAGTATTTTTTCTTGTCGATGTTTTTAAGGGTCTGGACTCTAGATCCAATGTGTTTTTTTCCAGTGAAGGAATGCACCAGCATACAAAAATTTTGTGTTGATCTCCGAAACTTTTGATCCTGATCTTGATTTTTTATCTCGTCTGTTCATGGGGAATTTGCACACGGAAATTTTATTGCTAAAGTATTTCATTAACTGCGATAGCAGTATTTTTCATGATTTTTTTCCGATATGGGAGACTATGAGAAATATATTTGAAAGTGAGAAAATCAACCGCCTTGTGGTGTCATCAGACAGTATTTTCCATCTAAACACAAGTATTGTAGCAGACCAGGCCAAACTTTCTCAAGAGTTTCGTTTAGTTCGGTTACATGATCTGAAAGTATGGCTACCAGAACCAGAACACGGTCATTACCTTGAATAGTGCAGAAGGAACAAATAACAAAATATGCTTATCTGTGAACATATGTCCCAGACCCTATATTTTTAAACAAATTTCACTTTAAAGATAACATAATATCTCTTGCTCTCCTCGTGGCATTTCCTGAATCTTTTTTGGGTATCACGTTTTCAAGACGGAGAAAATTATGGCCAGCTACCGAGTATAAGTAAATGCCATGAGGCGTCTGAATGAAGAATGATACTTTTAGGCCATGTTCGGAGAACTTATGTTGACAGTGCAGATTCTACCAACTATTGGAATCCAATGCATCCGTATTAAATCCTTAACTCTCTCCTCTAAATCAAGTTTGAATACGGCAGCGCAGCGTTCTGTTGCCTTATTTAGATTCCCTCCTCAAAGTTGTCGCAGGTTGCAGAGAGGAATTAACTCAGCAAATTTACTGCACACGAAAGAGACAAGTTTGTTAGATACCATCCTGACATAATCGGTCGATCTACCATTGGTGCGTAAATTAAAGCTTGTGGTTTGCCCAGGTGCTAATTTAAGCGATAAGAGACATTTAAGAACGGAAGATGTGATGCAGGTCTTATGATGCAAAACGGAACTTGTTTTCATTTCTTACACTGATCAGAGCATCTCATTAAAGAAACGACCCGATCCTGTCGATAGGAACGCAAGGACTGAATGGCTGCTTTTCTAAAGTTAACAATACTGCGCATACTTCGTTCATTGAAACGTTTGAGGAATAAACGCTGTTCAAAGCAGACTGATGTTGTACTTAGAATCTAATTTACGAAGGAAAGGGTTAACATTATTACCAATTCAAAGAAATTACTATACAGTCCGGACTTCTTGTCCAGAGATTCTCCTCTGATAATCCTATTGCAGTTACAGCACATGTCAAAGCCTACATGCAGAGCCAAGATCTCTATCGTAGAATGGCAATTGAATCGAATCCCGAGGGTAAAGTCCTTAATGCCTGCAGTAGAGCGAGTGACCCGAAAAATTTGACAAAATAGCGCCATAGAAATGCATTTTCAGGTTCTGTTCGACAAATGGGTAGCAAAATAACGATCTATTTAAATTCAGTTACCTACTGCCAACTGTAATTTACAATAATCACCATTCATTACATGAAATTAATATCCGAGTATTCTTTAATCCATCGTTCAGTTTAATCCAGTCAGTAACTTGATCTTTGAAGACTGCTTTGGGAAGAAATTTTACTCTTTAAAAGTGCTGAGATGGATCAGAAAACTCAAATTGGTCCTCCGAATTCGAGTTAAGGCTCTCAGAAAATTTCAATATTTTCAGTTTGTTTTGGAATTCATGTTACCTACGGCTTAACTCTACACAATCCATTATCATAACTCTTGCGGCCTTGCCCATTAGAAAAAAGGAGTGCCAAACTCGTTGGACTGCCGCCGCCCCCCACCCCTTGTTGGGGCTACATCATCAATTCCGAAATTTAATTTTCAGGCACGCACACGAGAGTCACATATCCTCGAAATAGAGGTACACATGTCGTGTAGGAGTATCGTTGTGATCGAATTTGAAACTACCATGCAGATCTTTGGCTCCGGTCCAAATCAGAAGAGTCGTGGCTTGCTTTCGGCTCGCCACTTTTGACGCCTCCGAAACGATTGCGACTTTTCAAGTGTGCGAGCCCGCCTCAAGACACTTTTTCGACTGGTCATCGACCGCGGATCCAAAGAACTTATTGTGTCGTGTCCGCCATGTTGCCGCGCCGCAGGACTGCCGTCCTGAAAAACTTTTTCAAATGGTTTCATGTGATGGCACATGGAATGCTTTTCTCCAGCTATAGGCAGGTCATAAACTTCTCAGCTGTTTGCGAGAGTTCTAGGATAATGGAATAACTTTAAAGCACGAATCACCATCCCTGGGAAAATGAGTGTTAGCCTTTGGAGGACATTTTTTCAGAGGAACAATTTTCGTCAAATTTGGGGCGAGAAATTTGAAAAATAGAATGCAAAACAGCTGCTTCATGTGTGCCCAAAAATGTTTTAATTAAAAGAAATTCAAACGCCTGAAGCGAATCATCCCCGATTTAAGTTCAAATTTTCGGATTCAATAAATTGTTTCTGAAGAAAACGTCTTTGGTGCATTAAAAAGAATGGTTGAGCTAATTCAGATCAACTCACGAGTTTTTATCCAAAATTAGTGAAAACTTCACAATATTCGTGCTTGTTTTTAAATTTCGATGTTTCATTTTTTCGGCAAAACATTTTTTCAATCAATTCGGACCACAGCTATTTTCCAGCTTTCCGCGCTCCGTCTTTGTGTCTTTGAATTTAGCCGAATAAAGGATATCTAACCAAATTACTCTCTCTTGTGATTGCAGGTAGTGGCGTTTATGGAGGTGATCTTGCAACAGTCGTTGGGTCTACCTTGGTCATCGGAGAACTTCCCGATCTGGGCGTCCCTTGTCGAGGGCTGTCTTCTACCGGTCGTTCTCCTTATATTCGACGACCAATTCCCGGCCCGCATCGCTCACATCTACAAGCGACGCTCTCCAGCCGATGTCGCCGGAAAACCACCCCAAGGTTTGCATAAGAGTCATTAATAAATTATCTGTTGTATTTTTATGGATGAGAACTTTTCTTTGAATGATACCTATCGAAGGTGAGTCGAAAAAGGAAGTACATCTTGAGAGATTTACTGTCTTTCTGACTTTAAGGTCTGTCTCTGAGCCAAAAAAAAAATTATCATTTTATGGCGGAATTTTACTTGAAAACAATTTTACAAGTTTGTTGTGATGTGAAAATTAGAGTACCGCAAGCATAAAAATATCTGCCTAGATGTTGAAAGTTCCGATTTAAAAATAAATCATACAATTCAGCCTCGTCCAAAGGAAAAAAATGGATTGCTGATCAAACAATTGAATTGTTAAAAAAAGTGTTCGACGTGTTTCAAATGTACATTTCATAAAAGTGGAAAGCTAATTTATCCACGGCAGTGTTTAAATTAGCATTTTTTACAATAAAATCTACACTGAAACATGTTGGAAACTTTTTTTAACTACAAAATTGTTACTAAAAATCAGCAATTTCATTTTTGCCGTGACCATATTTACGTACAATAATTTGTAAATACAATTTTTGTGCATGCGAGATTGCTAGGACACCTCGTGAATAGTACATGGAAAATATGAAACACAATACCCTCTCCTTCAGCTGATGCTTAGAAACTCCCGCTCTCCAGCAGACAAGCTCATCCTCAAATTATGTTCAGGATCTCGACCCGGCGTGCCGTATCACGAAAAGTTACGGCACAACATGCGCTCCAATCTCGGTACCTTAATCTGCCCTCGGTGCATGAATGTGAGTCTAGCGCCTCCTAAGAGCTGCACCGTTAACAATTCGCAGCGATTATCGGAATATTCGCAGTAAAACGAAAATGAACATGCTGAATTTCTCGAGAAAATTGGTAACGCCGGGAGAAACTGTCAAGAGTTCACGTTGCTCTCATGACCGCTCCTCTCGTTCTAGGCAGAAAGCAAATTTTTATGAGAATCGATCTGATCATGATCTGAATTTAATAATGAAACTGACCTTTTTTCCGAGTTGATCTGTTCGTGACTGGTCACATCGATCACGGATTCTCCGAGACTACGGAATAAAGGTCAAGGCACGGAGCAGCCTCAAAATTTGAGATTTGACCGCTTCACGGGCAGAATTATAGGGTGGACTCCTTGTTGAAGACTCAAGTGCATCAGTCAGCCGTTTATATATACCTAGACGTTGCTCTCTTTCTCAACTTCGTCGCTCCTCTCGAGGCTCTTCGCAAGGGCGTATCTCGATTTACACGTGAGCCATGCTCTCCGTATTACTCCGTGCTTTTCGGGGCTCAAGTCGGAATCCTTACGTGAGCGGAACGAGCTATGACGAAGATTCAACCGAGGAGCACTGAAATCGCGCTTTAAATGCAACGCCAATAGCATGCGGGTAAAAAGTGGAGCTCTAAGTTGAATCGAGGGGCTTGAAGGACAAGGCGCATAGGTGCAGTTTTTGAAAAAAAAATTAATTTAGTAACGATTCCAAGTAAAATTAGTTTTGATGACCATTCTGTGAAAAATTCGCTCTCTAATTCCAATTTTTAAGCATCAAAAAGTCAGGTTAAACTTTCTTTCCGCAGTAAAGATCCATGTGATTTCGAAACTTCATACAAGTATTTCGCGAAATGACAGAAACTGCACTTATACGCCTTGTCTTCCAAGCCCCTTAATTACTCTCTGGGTGATTTCACATCCCTGTGCGAAGACAACCATTTACCTCTACCGAAGTCTGAAAGCTACCTTCATCTGAAATCTGAGAAGAAGAGAGGGTTTTCCTTGCATGAGAACTGTCTCTCACGTGTCGATTTGTGAGAATATGTAATTTCATTTCAGAGCGAGAAAATTTGTATGTGTTCGATTTTAGTACCATTATACCGTATCTTTATATATTTATATTAGGATTGATGAAAATGAACCATTTTTAATGTGTTTAAGTTATTTTCAAAGATTCAATCCTATTTCAATCTTTCACCTCCAAAAATGCATGTAATTGCAGGAGGATATGAATAGAGGGTCAGGCACATACAATGTGCCATCTTAGTATAACAGGTTATAGGACATTTCGTCAACGATTTTTTGTCCACGCACCTGTTTTTTCCAGTAATTTACGTCCACTCGGTTTTTCGGCAAGGGAGTTTTGGTCCACGTGCCAGTTGAGACCCGAAGTTAATTGGCCCACATGTAAAAACAAACGACAACTGCTCACGACGTTTTTGGATGAAAATGTAAAATGTCATGGAAGAATGAGGGTTTGCTCGTTTTTTTGTTTTGTCTGTTTGGTCCAACGGAGAATAATATATAGTTGAGAGTTTTGGTAAAAATGGGGGAGCGTCATTTCCATGACACAAAATCCACTAAAACTCTCTAAACCTCTTTGGTGTAACGGGACTTAATTATCTTTCAAGATTTTCCCACCTTGTTATACCTGAACTGGATAAACCTCTATATTTGCCTCAGCAAAAGACTCTTAGATTTTACCAGTGTACGATAAGTATCTTGATTTATTTTGCGAGGAGAGATCTGTACTTTTAAAGGATGCCTGTCATTCTTAATACGTTTAATTTCGTATAATATAGTGCACCACCTCTGTTGTGAAATAGTTGCTTCAGGCGCCGCCGCACGGCGGACGGACGGCCAGCGCGGAACGCGCATTGGCGCCTACAAACCTAAGTGGATACTTCAAGCATTGTGCAATACGTGAAGTATCTACTTAGGTTTGTAGGCGCCAATGCGCGTCCCGCGCTGGCAGCACGCCTCTCCGCTCTCTTAGCCTTTAATATTATACTCGCATAGTCAGCGTTTTTTAACACAGGATTTTGAAATGTTTGCAGACTCTGCATTGATTATTCTCATTTAAATTGATAGGGAAAAATATGTATCAGTTTATCAAAGGAGAATAATAATATAATGTGTGTTTTTTTAAATATCGGTAGTTCCGTGTCAAATTTATGATTTCCAAAGCACTTTACTTTTTTCTTGTACACATTGTGGTTTTATTGTGCTGCAGCGAGGTGTACGCGCAACCAAACGCTCAAAATTTGACGTATTTGACTCTAAAAGATCGATGTACAAATGGGTTAAAACTAAAGATTGCGAGCTTCTTGGTTTTTTTCCTCTTTTATTCGTTTTTGCAGTTTCTGTTGGCACAACTGCGGCTAATTGAGATTAATGTCGCTTGGAAAAGGTTTTACAAATATTTGTCACGTTTTAAAAATATAAATGATTTCAGAATGAAGTAATAATTTCGTAAAGAAAATGCAATAGTGTATTTTCTTCGGAAAATACACTAAAAAGTACCTATACATATATGAGGTATATTGTACATCGAATATTTTAAGAATAGAAATACAACCAAATATTTACTTTTGATTGATATACTTTTAATTGTAAGGATATTCTCCTGCATTTACTGCAATAAAATTAAAAATAACTTTTACTTCAACTAACCTTTGATATAGTTAATTTACATTCACCAAAAAAAAGCGATGATGATTTTACATTCGATGTAAACAAGTGTGCGAGAACTTACAAAACGCTAAATTAACCGCTACAGCACTTACTTTAGCAATGTAAAGATGTAAAACTAACTGCTGTGGCGGTTCATTCGGCGTTTTGTGAGTTCTCGCACACTTTTTTACATCTAGAATGTTAAATCAGCATCACTTTTTTTTCGAAGTTAATTCTATTTTAATGAGTTAAATTTTAACAACTACTCAAATTCAACGCTGTAGGTAGAACATGTTCTCAAATTGATTGTGTCTGTGCAGGGTTGTACGGAAAGTTCAGGCCATTCAATAACAGTTCAATGATGGAGTCGAGACGGACGACGATGGAGCCAGTGAGATTCCCAATCACGAACGGGTCTTTGTTCACAAGTTTGGACGGCCGCATACCTATTGTCCACAACTACAGACGAGGAAAGTGTGAGTATGACGAAGACTATTCAAGTGTAGGAAGAATTCAATTCAACCAACCATATGTAGAGATATTACTTTGAGCAAATTATATTAAGCATAGATGTAGAGAATATTGCATACACAAAATATGAAGGGGTTTAAGATGCGCTAAAAGGAGGCATTAAAGTGGAATTTGACTTTACAATGACTTTCGACGGTATTAATTAAGTTCATCAACTGAGGAATCTCATTATATGCTGAAAATTTGAGTTATTTTTTACAATATACAAAACTCCGATGAAGTAAGCGTATTCCACCCATGAAAAGTCCGGCGACCATTATGACTCGCGCTCGACCGATAAAAACTCCTTTACCCTTGTCGTATTCATTTTCTGGTGTCAAGATAGCCACCGTTCCATCGATCAGCATTTTGGAATGAAATGTACTGGTTATAAGTACTATATAAAAATAGAAGTATGTCAGTTGCGCCTATCGTGCAGTCATATTGTAATGATTGAAGTTTCTAGATGCATTGTCTAATCACTAATTTTGAGTCTGCGATCAAAGTTTGCGATATCCTGTCAAAAATGCGATCGATGATTCGTTTACAGAAATGCATATCACTGTTTCATCCAGCTGAAGGTGATTCGATGGACGCCATAATTAGTGACAGAACGACAAGCGACATACATGCAAAATCGATACTATGCGATTGATTAGTTCCTTTTTTCAGCTACTTGCAATTTTTATTGAATTTTGAGATCGCATCTCTGTTGTCACACGACTGAAGGATTCACCTATCAAAATCAACGTAATAAAGGTAGGGTTCCTTCAGAGGAAAAATATTGGATTCACTACTGATATATAAACTGCACTCGAATGCAATTGCCCCCCGAGCCCCCTTTTAACCCCTCCCCCTCCCATGTTCGATGTATTTGGGTCCACCTATGCACTGAAAAAAAATTCTCGGCGTTTTTACCAAGGTCCGTTGGTAACCTTACCATCTCACTTTTTTTTACCAATTATTGGTAATTTTACCATGACAGACTGGTAAACATACCTAAAAATCGGTATTTTTACTGTTTTTTCCAGGTAAGAATACCACTTTTATTGGTAATCAATTCCCGGTAACTTTGCCATTTTATCTCGGTAGTTCTACCACAGTCGATAAAAAATATTGGCGTTTTTACCGGGGTCCAGTAAAATAACCGAGAAAGTCAATAATTTTACCGAGATTTCTCGGTAAAATTACCAATTCCATTAATGGTAATTTTACCAAGAAAAAACTGGGATCAAATAGAACCCTGAATTCTCGGTAATTTTACCCTTTTTTTAGTAAATATACCGAGATTTTTTTCAGTGCCGAGCCCCCTTTTAACCCCCCCCCCCATGTTTGATGTATCTGGGTCCACCTATGATGGGAACTTAATGAACCTTTTAGTCTCATAATTTGTTGTTGAATTTGACCCAAATTTTGCTGAAACTTTTTCGCAGGCATCACGAGAAGCACGAGTGGTATGCTGAGCAACAAGTTCTCCGGGATCAGCGAACACGGTGGTTCGCTGCTCATCTCGAACATGGTGTCGGTGGGTTCCTCGATGGAACGGAAACCGCCCCTCCCCGTCGACCCCAGCGAGAAGCCCGAGCAGGACGGGCACCCTCACTCGCACCAGCCCACGCCCGAGCGAGGCGCCCACTCGCCCGAGGGCGCCTGCGGGGGCGCCGATCGGGATCGAGACAGGGACGCCCTACCGCAAACAGTCAAGCAACTCCGCGAGAAGCTCTTCCTCAAGGACCACAAGGACTTCTACGACTCCTCCGACGAGGAGCCTGTATACGCAACGCTCTCTTCGCAGAGCATCTGCTCAGGTACTTTGTCTCATGTGTACTAGTATCATTGGCGGATCCAGCAAATTCGCAACATCGTTTTTTCTCAATTTGAAGCCATGGAAATTTATCGATTTTTGGAGGGGTCTGGTGGGGAATTTTTGACCATCGATCGGTACATGGGACAATAACATCCCTTTCAATACTTAAAAATAAAATTCCAATATATTTGTTACTTATTAAGGAAGCTCAAAATTTCTAAACTATTGATAGTTTATCCTTATAATCTAATGCAATTTGGAAATTAAGTGACAACATCACAAAGTAAAGTGCCTAACAAAATGATTGAATCTTAAATTTCGTTGCCCCTCTGACGTAAGAGCCAATTTCATTTTCTAATGAGTCCTGATTTCCGTATAAATCCTAGCTTTTTGGGGCTCATTCGGAAATAGAGATATGCTTTTACGTTAGAGGAACGACAATTTGAATATGAGAAAAGTGACACACAATCTGTTTTTCAGACATGGTAAATGATATTCAAATAAGCTAAAAGTCAAAGAACCCAACATTTCAAAAAACCAAAAATCCCAAAATTTCAAAAAGCCAAAATTCGTTAGCTTTTAGCTCGTTTGAATATCATTAACCATGTCTGTAATAGCTTAGCACGCCAATTTTGGCATTAAAATGTAATCTGTTTTTCTCTGTATCACGTCCTCCAATCGTGCGAACTTAGTAATTCTACTTTTGACTGATTTCACGTCTTTAAATCGTTTCAACAGCAACGACAGCAGCGAACGACGACTTCGAGTTCTTCCAGCACGACTCGAAGGAGGTGGAGCGAGCCAGCGGCGCGAGCACAGCGTCGGAGCCGCCGTTCAGCGCCCCGGATCCACCGACCCCCGCCGCTGAGGAGTCGAGGGATGCGCGGAGTGTAAATAGTGATAGTCATAGTCGTAGGAGTAAGGAGCGCGAGCGCGGACGGGAGAGTCCGGCGGCGGGGCGACACCGGAAGGCGGCGGCCGCGCGGAAGACGGGCGAGCCGCGCTGGAGGGGCCACGCCCTGAGGGACTCGCAGCGGCACCGCCGGAGCAGGAGCCGGGAGGCCGCCCGCCGCCAGAAGAGCCGCCGCTCGCCCATCGTCAAGCGGCGCCCCGTCACAGCCGCCCACTGGAGGCCGGCCAGCTCCAGGACCGAGCACCCCGGATACAACCACCAGGTGAGCTATCACTACATCACTACACACTCGGTGAGCAGGGTTAAGAGAAAGGAAAGCAAGTGATATGGACTTGGAGAGGATAGAAAGGTTAATGTTCTCTTACTCCGTAAAGATTCTTCTCTACTCACAAACTGAAGGCTAATTGTTGACATTGGTAGACATAGCTATTGACGAAGGAGACAAAAGAAATATACACGGAGAAAAAAACTTCGTGCGTGGGATCCGAAGTTTAGGTCATATGGATCTCTGAAGTTTTCGGATTGAACATCTGAACAAGTTAGGTCTAGCTGTCGAAGTTCGGATCACACATCTGAAACTTCAGTTCTTACATCTGAAGTACTTCGGTTTTCACATCCGAAAAACTTCGGTTCTCTCACCTGAAGTACTTCAGATGTAAGAACTGGAGTTTCAGATGTGTGATCCGAACCTCGACAGCTAGACCTAACTTGTTCAGATGCTCAATCCGAAAACTTCAGAGATCCATATGACCTAAACTTCGGGTCCCACGCACGAGGTTTTTTTCTCCGTGTAGAAGGATCCTATTGGTGGAAGCGGCTGGTTGCGATGGACAAAGAACGTAGATGATAAACTAACTAACGGCAGCCCACGAGAAACTCAATGTTTAAGTAGTCCATCATTTACCCCCTCAGTGTAAGAACCACTCATTTTAACCAACAGGATCGCCCCATACTTCCTATGTTCTCTTTGTCTATCGCTTTGTCTATCAGTTTCAACAATCAGCCTGCTGGAGGCTGCAAAGAGACTCATCGACCATCCCGAGTTATAGGTCCCTGCCCATTAAGGGTTGGAAAAGGCAACAATAAGCTTTTTCGAAGCCTCTAGTTTGCAAGAGAAGAGCCTAATCGTTAATTTAAAAAACAAAATTTAAGTGGAACAGAATACTGTTAGGGGCCCATTCGAGATGATTCGTAGAAAATCAGTTGAATAAACCCAGGATGCTTAGGTGAAACACTCGACTTGCAATTTATGAGGGATGATCTACCGAAGTCGAGGGCGCAATAAAGGTCACTTTCGTTACGGTGCGAGTCCACCTTTATACCAAGTCAAATCCTCAATACAGACTCCTGTTTGCATTTGCTCTAATCGCCAATTCTGGTTAAATCCACGCTAAAACGAAGCACTATTAAAAAGAAGTTCCCCCGTCCATCTTTTCTACTCCTGCGTTAAAGTCTTCGAGTCAGCAGAAGAGAGACGATGATCCTTCATTTCGTAAATATGTAATTTTATTTACATAGAAGTTGAATTAAAGCTAAATCTATCCATTATGGATAGGGGATGGGAGGGAGTTCAGAGAATGCCGTCAGGCACTTTCTCAGATTCCTTGACCCCTCCCTTCTCCCGCATCAAGTCCCGTTTCGCCCTTTCGCCAGGCAGTCCTATAAGCCACCACATGGTATCTCAAAGTTGGTTGCGTAGGTTACTGGATTGAAAAGGAACCCTCTAACCCGAAAATTTCTGATTTCAGAGGCCAAGCCAGGAGCCCTGCCGGATGAAGTCGACGTCCTTAAGCGTCCTCAACGAGCACGACCGAACCCTGTCCAGCGAGGAGGGCGCCCGCTCCAGCCCGCACCCCCACGCCCACCCTCACGCCCACCCTCACGCCCACCCGCACTCCAAGCCGGCCTACCACCGCTACCACCCGGGTGGGCGCCGCGTCCGGATGCGCCACGGACACGGACACGGCCACCACCCCCGCGAGTTCCCACCCACCCCGCCCACGCCACGCCGCCTCGCGCCCATCCTCTCCGTCGACTCCCTCGTGTCGGCGCTCAACGACACCGGCGTGTCCTACCTGGACAACGGCGAGGTCTTCATCCACCCCAACAGCAGCAGCGTGCCGGACCTCAAGAAGATCTTCATCACGGATTTCCTGTAGAGAAGCCCCATCACTTAAAGTGATAGCAATCATTGTCGGTCCAGAGGGCTGATTTTTGAATTTGATAGATAAAGCAATAGACAGAGAAGACATACTGAAAATAAAGCGATCCTATTGGTGGAAGCAAGCGGTTGCAATAGACAAAGGAGTTTAGTATTAGACTAACCAATGACAACTTATGAAAGACTCTATCGTTAGTCCATCATTTTCCATCATAGTCCATAACATCCACCCGTTTCAACCAATAGGATCTCTCCATGTTCCATATGTCTTCTCTATCTATAGCTTTGTCTATCAATTCAATGATGAACCCGCAGGGCTAGTGACATGTCGACTGAATCCTCCAAGGGAGAAACAATTTCAGATGACTGAAACTGTATTCAGAAAAAACCTCTTAGACACTTTTGAGTCAAGTTCAGCTGAAAGAACGAGTATCGTGCCAAGATTAGGTGGTACAGATGTTTCTCTGGATGCAACCCTCGTTGCAATGAATGTTGAATAGCTTTTTTCAAGATATATTTCGAAAATGCTGATAATTTGTCCGTAATTTTTAACTGCCTTTTATAGAGACTTTATCATTTAAGAGCAATAATTGTTAATAGTCGCTGCTGTGAGAGTAGTGTGATATGAATTAAAGTGGAATTGTCTCAATATTTAACGATGAGAAGACGAGTTTCATCATAGCTCTCTTCTGCGACGATTTGTTTTCCGCTCTGTTAAATTTTTTTGCCGCCATGAAGGACCAAGGGAGATTTTTATTCTGAAATAGTTTGTTTAAACAGATAACTGAACGTCATTTATTACTTACTGGTGGAGGCATTCACTTCTACCTCAAGGGCAACTTTTAACAAAGCTCATACTTACCTCTAATATTTGCATTCCCGGTTGGTTTAGTACTATCCAACTGGAGGGAGTTTGATGTCTATGTCATAAGTTTCATTAAATTACAGTAGTTTGTATGACAGTGAAGAATCATCTTGATAAAGCGTCTATATTTATAGAGTCATTTAACGTACCTGAGTACTTCTGAGTAAAGTTTAAGAGAATAACCTTTTTTGTGCAACGACTGAAGAGCTAATCAGCACGTCTAACATATTAAACAGATGATGTTTAAAGGAATTTGCTTCGGTTATACTGTTTTAGATGATGGTGGTTATGGGACGTAGTTGCAAAAAGCAAGGCAGATTCAAATAAATGAGAAATCACACATTTTTTTATGAAATAAAATTTTGGACGGTAATATACTTTACTTATTTATATAATGAAAAGTGTTATTTTTGTCTCAGCTTGAGTGCACGGGCTAAAAATGAAAAATGAAAACAAACCCTGCTCAAATCTAATTGTCAGTGTTAATTGCTAGAATATTTTTTCATCAAATACCAAATAATTCCTTTGGTTATGAAAAAGAAAAACTCGTGTAAAGCTTCTTGTGTGTGTGTAAAATGCATAATTATCGTGGTTATAAAATCTGTGTTAGTCTTTTAAATAATACACATTTTCCTTTTAAAACCTGAAGCAAAAGTTTTTGCTAGGTATAATTTAGAAAGTAATTTCTTAAAGAATTTAATTGGAAGGATTTTCTTGAAGGATAAAAGTTAAAAATTATATTATCTACACCGATTTATTCTGGGGAAAAAGTTCATCACCCTTGTGAATTATGTCACCCAGTAAATAGGCGTGTGCTTATATGGAGGAAGAATCCATTCTCAGGAGAGAAAAATTTATATTTCTCATCTAAGCTTTAAGTTTGGGTCAAAATTAAACTTCGTCTCAACTCGCCAAATAATTCATCTAGTCTTTTGAGAATCGTCTCTAAGAAGTCCTTGCTGAGCTAAATGCTCGCAAAAAGAGGTCACTTTTTTTGTTTATTGTAGAAGAAGCTCATGAAAAGTCTCGCCATTTTTTCTCATTTTATTAAGAGAACCCTTAAAAAGCGTAGACTGAATTTACAAGATGAACACTTATATGTAGAACTCCTTTTGAATTCATTCATTATCTTACTCTGATAAATGCACCGACGAAAAACAAGTAAAACATTACAACAAAACATCACTTTTTTGTAGCATTTCACCTCTCTACAATCTCGTTAGTCGTCACATTTGTAAGAGGCGATTCAATCCACATACTAAATGACTTTTAAAGGACTATGTTAGTCCTTAATATTTTGTTTGTACAGTTAACGTAGGCTCGTGTAATTAATTATTATCAAACTACTTAAAGTAAGTTAAGATTAAGACTGTATTCTTTGAAAGCCAAAATATACTATACTTAAAAACAATCCCGAGTTTTTTAATTATCCTCCAACAAAGATATGTATTTGATACAATTGCACTCAGTCCAATCCAATCTGCCCCTAACTCTGAATGCGTGAACTTAACTCGTGAATACGAGGCGCAAAAAACCAATATTGATGGCTAAGGAAGATTACCGCCTACCTGAAAATCTTGGCGAAAATTGGTCATCGACTTTGTCGCATTCTACAACATAAATGAAGCAATCTGATTTTTTTGAATTGTTTTGCTAGTGCCGCATGAAAACGCTATGATGGCCCTGTCTTTATGAAAAAAAAATTGCAAACCTAACCTCAGAATTAACAAAAATTGCGAGGATTCCCTTCACTTTGTAAAATCGTCAGTTCGCCGTTGGGCAATTTTGTTCCTCAGCTATTCATATGGATCGTATTCAATACATCAAACAGGTGAGATTGTATCGATATGGATTGGTCCAACATGTAAACATAGCCTCCAAAGTCAATCGAGTAATCTGAGGCAACGGGTTTCTTGTGATAGATTTTTTATTTTTAAGAGTATGAAACGGCAATGAAAAGTAAAATTGTTAGGAGTTTCCTCATTTTTAGCTTTTTATACTTAAATTCTAAAATTTTCGTTTGGGGTCGCTCTATTGTTTTGAACCAAACTTTATATCGAGCCACTACCGAATACAATATATTTTGTTCCTTACCCAAAGATATGGATCGTATTCGATAGTGGTTCGATAAATCGTTTGGTTCAAAGCAATAGAACATAATCTCCACCAAAAAATCTTTGGATTTAAGTTGGGGAAGCTGAAAATGGGAAAATTCCTCACAATTTCACATGTCATTGCCATTTGATTCTAAACAAAAAAAAAAAAAAAAAAAAAAAAAAAAAAAAAAAAAAAAAAAAAAAAAAAAAAATATGTATCACAAAAAGACGTTTTCCCTCGGCTCTCCAAATTGACTTTTGAGGCTGTTTACGTGTTGAACCAATCGACATCGATACAATCTCACCTATTTGATGTAACGAATTCGATCTATTTCTGTAGGCGCACACTTAGAATCCTTTCTACCTCTCAATAATAATTGAAGCATGTTTCACAAACCTTGACCCACAGACTCCCACAATCGACATCTTCGAGCTCTCGGTATCTCCGTCAACGGAGCATTCATAACCGTAAACCCCTCAAAACAAGCGCAGTCTCCATAAATCCCGCGCTAGCAATCAGCAGGACATCGACTGGGAACAATGAACATTAGGAAAGCGGCGGGCGGCGCACAATAGTCAACAGGGGAGGTCAAACATAATATGAAAACTTCAAGAGCTTATACCTTCATTAACACGAACGAAGAGGTCTAAAAGTGGTTTAATTGGTTTTCTCCTAAAATTTCCTGGAAGAAGCATTCCATAAATTGTATAACATGACGAGATAAACATCAACATTTTCATTTTAGTCAAACATATTATGTTCGTCTCCTCCTCGAGATGGCTCTCTCTACTGTGCGGCGCGGCGTGTTGAAACGCGGCGGCCGTTGCAGAATGTCGAAACCGTTGAAAGGCCGAGATCTTCGGCGCTAAGAGAGAACTCCGCCGACGCGAAGAACCACGTATCTGTGCGGGGTTCCTGCGAGAGTTAGGCGGTTTTTGCCAACGGACTCCAGTGACAAGGAGCAGCCAGGAGCCGACCGAGCTCAATTCGAAGCTGACGGTGATATATGATACAGTTCGAGAATGAGCCGTAACGGACGGTTTTATGAATCGTTTAATCGACCGGCGATCACGATTCGACCGTTGCGCGGTTCGCCCGCCTCACGCTACGCAGCGCCACCGTTGCCACTTGACGGCGCCAAGAAATCCACTTTAAGTTGAAATATGTTGAATCAAAAAGGCAATAAATTTCTCTTTTAAAACTTCCAGGCAGCAAATTGCATTTTTCCCCTTTTTTTGGTGCACAATAGATATTCTTAACTAAAGAAACTGCGTAACCATGCGTCTTGATCGCAATGTCTCAGACCGTGCCTTTTTAAGCTCCTGGTTTTTTTTTTTTTTTTGAATACTTACCATAGGACAATCCGTGCGTTATCTTCACGAAAGAACGTAACTATAATTCAATGTTGCCAAATTTCTCCTCACAAATTGAATTTTTACGTGGAGAATTTTGGGCTTTTTCATCTGAAAATTTCCCTTGTTTTTCCTACGATCTCATGCAAAAATCAGACAAATTTTGGACAAACATTGCACCTGTAGATTTTCGTACAAATATACATTTTATGAATCAATTTTGCAACCTTGAAGTAGAGTTACGTTCTTTCGTCCCGAAAAATTTTGCCAACAAATCTTAGAGAATATTTCTGAAAGAGCAAAAGAATATACCGAGAATGATCTGCGTTTATGATAATTGAGGTGTTGGGTGGAGAGAGGGTATTTCTCGGTAACGGTGTTTCAGAATCTTCTCCCCCAATTTAACAAGTGTGTGAATTTTCTGAAACTTTCCGTTTTCAGTGTGTTCTGTGTAAAATCATGAAGAGCTTTCAGTAAAAGTTTCAACGGATTACATACATTTGCTTTGATCACAATGAATGAAACGTCATCGGAACTTTTGAAACACTGCAACCAAGAAATGCCCTTTCTGTGCCCAGCACTTCAACTGCAATCATTTGTCTAAAAAGTCAACTGAAAGTCGGATATCCTTCTAAAAAACACACTGCACGAGCTAAGTATGCAATACAACTGTATCAACCTCTCCGTGGCTCAAATTGCATAATCACCTAGATTGAAGGAGCGCTTAGTCTCAGTCCCCACGTTAGTCATCACCGCAAGGTTTTTTGGTTTACATGCAAAATCTTGGGACAAAAAAAAAATAAATAAATAAATAAATAAATAAATAAATAAATAAATAAAGAAGCGATGAAGAAAATGCATTAGGAAAATCAACGATTTAAGAGATTCGGAAATCTGCAAGGTCGCAAACCAAGATATTTGATTTCGCAGTTTCACCATCGATTTTCGCCTTCACTGGCAACATCACATAATTGATGTTGCGAATAACTACAGCGCGGCATGAGTCGCTCTGAAACGGCAAAGATTTTGTACTTGCTCTAGCAAGCCCGGCGTTACCATCAGTGATTTATTGAGATCAGTGACGTATTGAGCGACCCGTTGCAGCATCTTTGGGCCGAATTTTTCTTTATCTTCCGTCTCCGTTCCCCAGTGCCATCGGCCTTCCACTGCAACGTGCTCAGCATGTGCGCTGGCTCTGTGGGCATATCGTCGCTCCTCTGACGTAAGGGCGTATTTCGGTTTCCACATGAGCCCCGTTTTACATATAAACCCATTCTGTCTAAGGCTCATACCGATATCAAGATGCACCCCAAGATTCTGCGACGATGTAACGTAATCTAGAGAGCGGGAGGTGTTTCATTTTATCGTCCTCAAACTCTGGAGATATGCAGTCATGTCTCGACCAACGATTTGTTAACTGATGTAAGCAGTCGTGACGTCCATAGAGTCACCAGAAAAATATTGCTCGGGGGCCAAGATCCGATTTACTTCTCGCAAGAGGATAGACTGGCGCTGAGCAATCAGGATCGGATTTGGGATTTTTGGGCCTACAGATGGTGCAACCTGTGATGCAGCCCCTTAAAATGATGCAAACTGCTGGAATTAAACCCGGTAAATTTGAGCCCAGGAGACCACCGACCACCCGCGACAAAACATATTTCTCTTTTTGTCTTCTCCTTACCCTTTCCTTCTCCCTCATATTATTTTATTCTTCCCTTCCTTTTGCTCTTATTCTTCCTTGATGATCATGTATAGTCCTGAACTATAATCGTAAAGTACTACGAGACTTTCCTTCTTTTTTTTGTGGTAGGGTCAAAAATGTCTTGAGATGAAGGAAAAACACTGTACAGCGAACAGCAGTTTATCATTTCTACTGGTAAGATCGTCTCTTGCACAGAAAAAATAGGATTGGCCGTCAGATTCTTATTATGAAAGAATGCTAAATCAAGCCAGAACGAAACAGCTTTAGTGTGATCTCAAGTGAATGCACCCTTGTGGGATTTTTATTGGCGCGTATACGTAGTATACCGCCTTTGCGATCGTTTCGACCCCCCCCTCGATACAATAACCGAGTCCCCTAGTTCCTTACCGAAAAGTGACTACCGCGAACTTCTNGTTCGACAGAATTTTTCCTTTCTTCGCTTAAATTATTCCGTAGCACTTTTCTTCAAGAATCTGATAAGATTTTGCTTGAGGCAGATCAAAAAACTTAAATTCGATCGAATAGCTTTCTACTTTCACAATACACGGTCTCGTCAAGGTGCGTCTTTGACCTCGCAGTGTTGGATCGTGAATTCTCTTTTTATGCTGTTTCCCTATTTTGAAATCTCTGTAAATGAAAACTAAAGGGGTTGATATGTGCGAGTTAATGACGCGCCTTATCAACACATTGTGTTGGAGTTCACTGCTTGTTTTTTATTTATTTATCTATTTATTTTTTTTTGCAAAAACTTCTGGTTTAAAAAATTACAAACATCTATAAAGTTTATTCAGCTGTATGATTAAGTGATCATAAGTTAATCGGCAGCTAAAACGAACAGTTTTGTCGTAGCATCACGAAAAATAATGCTACTTTTCATGGAATCACACTCCAGAGCTTTCGATGGCGCTATCTTTGTTCGTATTGATGTTAAAACCAAAAGAAAACAAACTGCTAATTGCATCGCATTCGTGTTGCAATAGCGTGTCCAGGAGAAAAGATTTTTTTTTTGTCTGTTTGTTCGTTTGTAGAAAAAAAATTAGGTGGATTTTATGTATGTTTTATCATTTCAAATGACAATAATTCCAACAAACTTTACAAAAACTTCAAAATCATAAGTTGAAAACCGCTGACGTCGCAAGTTTGAATGATCACATCAAACATTGTGCGGCCGGCGTCGGGTTTGCGTGCACGGTGCGCACAGCGGATATTATAGCGCCTTACAAGTCTGCAGAATACTTCATGCATTGCACTTACAGCACGGTGCGCGCGGCGCATAGTTTATAGCGCCTTACAAGTCTGCAGGATACTTCATACATTGCGCGTATACCACGGTGCGCGCTTAAGTTGTTGAAAAGTCGCATTTTCTTGGTGTTGAACCTACCCCGGTGTACACAATTTCCGAACAGTGCACACCACGAGCTTGCAATCTTAGGATCACAGGATTGTGGAGATTCTGCAATCCGGTATATGTTTTCCGGTAAAAATATAATTTTCTCTGGCCGCTTCGAGGAGCCAGTCCGCTTCAAAGCTTGACGGAAGGGATTCAGAAATTTGGACGAGATTTGATTTTTTTTTTTTTTTTTAATACTAAAGAAAATTGAATGAACGAAATTACCGGGTCGAAATTTTCTTTGATTTTGTTTGAAATCAGTTAGGCGCCTCTGGTTCTTTTCCCGGTTTTTAGGATCGATATTAAAAGTAAAATATGTATCGTTACTGCGACGATTCAGAAACACAAACCACGTAAAATAAATTTGGGTTTAATAAAAAGAAAGAAAAAAAAATATCGCGTCGAAATTTTCGATGATTTCAATTGAGATCGTTCCGAAAAATACACGGAAACTCTTCAGAAAAACAGTGCGTATATTCTTAAAAATTCCTAGAATAAAATTAAACATGAGAATTGGCATGTAACGTTGCAATCGAAGACAAATACGCTTTTTTTCTCGTTCACCCGTCTGTATTTGACTACATACATCTCTTTAATAACTTGAACATGGTTGTTCTACGATTTGAGTTTTTTGTGGTGAAAGCTGAGATTCTCAATCTTCTCCAGCAATTTCTTGTAAGTATTTATTTATTTTTTTTTTTCTTTCATGTTTCTATTTCAATTGTCAGAGAAAAATCGCTCCGGAAACAAAAGAAGAGGAGAGGAAAACGATGAAGGATGAAACTTATAAACATAGTAGGGAGGAAAATGAGAAGAATATTCATTATCAGCCTTTGATAAGTTCACAGGCTAGAAAATCGAAAAATAAACGAGGAAAAAGGGATTTCTATGCCCGGACGGCAACGATCACTGCGACGACGGCGACGCGCGGTGATTTGCGGCGGAGGCGCCGCGGCGCCGCTCCAGGTCTGCAACACGCAAGATCCGATCCTCCCCGGCGCACGGCGCAACGCACCCTTGAGCTGCTCACAGCGCGCCAGGCCTCAGTGACGGGCATCTCCGCATCGCGCTCCGTTCTAACCTCTTTCGACATTGCGGGGGCTCAAACTCATACCATCACCACTTTTTACATCGTGGAAACTCGTCGATAATCATCCTCGCGAATGGGAGGAAGTCACCTGGGCGTGAAAGCTGCCGTTACTCTTATCTCATCTTGTGTTTGTCATTGTGGCGTTATCTGGTGTCACGCCGCCGAAAAGCATAATGCTCATCGATGACTCTTTTGCTTCCAAAGTTGCGGTTAAAAATATAACTTTTACTTTCAGTCGTTGTTCGTGCGATCGGGGGGCAAAAGTTACCCTGTATGGGGCTGTAAAATTGTGCTCATGATGCTGTTGTGTATCTCGTACAAAAAGCTTAGAGCTTACTGGTAATTTTTTTGTTCTAATACTCGTTTTTAAGCGTGTCAACTCGTGGTTTCATTTTTTAAATAGTTCCTTGTGCTCAAAAATCGTAGATTTTATGTTCTTTTTTTCATGCGGAACCTCTCGCGTTCCTAACTTTTAGTTCGTCGCGTCGGGAAGATAAATTTCAATGTGCGCACGGAATAACCTCCAAAATTGAGGCAAAGGGTGGAAAAGTTAGCGAACAAAAAGGTCCTATTGCAAGTCTCGGTCAAGGATAACGTTTCCTCGCTTCTAACCAAGTGCACTCGCTAAATATTGAGAATCACTTCAAACATGAGTGAATTTCAACGCAAACTTATTGGCTGATCGGTAGAACTTCGAAGTTTGGACGTTCTTAACACACTCTCTTACTTATGAGTCCTTGAAGCCAGCATTGTCATTTTTTTATAATCGTAATTGTGTACTTATTAAGTTTGTATGCGATGAATGAGCATACTTCCAAATATGCACGTAAAACTCAAAGTTCTACGACATGTGCGTTATCGTGCGTCAAGAAAAGGATAACTTAAACACGCTGAAAGTCTGATTTTTAACAGCTTTTAGATTCGTCTTGAAGGGATGGAGACACAGATCGAAAACTTTTTGGAACAGTTTAAGCTGAGCTCCGCGCGAGCAATGGAGGAGTTCGAGATGAAACGAAGCTCGACTTTAGGACTCTCTCTGACTGGATTATCAGGGACGGGTGATGGCACTTCAACCTCCGAGTCTGGTAAGTGTTCATGCATTTGATGGCTTTAATTATATTCATTTCAGACCATTCACTAAAAAAAATCCACAGCGACCACAAATTGAGTAACTGATACCGAAGCGTATCGATGTTCCAAGTGCGAAACCTTGAGTGCATTTCCATTCTGTCGTTTCAGAATTTTTGTAACTATATGTATTTTAATATTTCGAAGAAAAAAAGCCAACGTTACTCTTAGCAATTCATACACAGTATTTTACTAACAGAGAGGACAAATTAAGGGGGTTTTCAAGGAAAAACGTTGACCAGTAACCCAGAGAAGAACTAAAGTATGACAGGAAGTTTACAACGTCACAAACGGAGATAAGATACGTTATTTCACACTTATGTCATCGATATGGAGAAGTGTTATATGAAAATTTTAGGAGAGAAAATGTCCAAAAATGTCGAATCAAACCGGAGTTATAGTAGATATAAGGGAGTTATAATGGTAAGAAGTTTGCAGCCCAAAAAATATACTTTCGAAAAAAAACTGAGCTCCCTTTCCTCGCTCAGAATAGGGATAATCCACTCGTAATCCATTATTTGTGTCTTTAGAGAGAAGTTTCCATCAAAATCTCAAAATCTGATTTTCCTCTCTCAAATCGAAAAAATAGCTTTACTAAAAATTTTGATTCCATGGACAAAGAACCTTTTTTCCGCGAATAATGTGCGCATTTAGATTAGTCAATCGATTGAATCCACTACTTTGGAAAGGTTGGAAGTCTGCTTATAAGTTTTTCCTGTCATGAGAGAGCTTCGGCTATCCTCCAAATTGCGCCATATTTTTAGGTTTTTCTAATCCCAAAATCAGTTTAACAATGAAGGACTCTAAATAAAAGTTGATCATAGACACTGGAATCGTGAAAAAGAATCTTGGATAAAGTATTACAATAATGATCAGATATTAATATATTCAGATAAATATCCTAACCTGTGACTCTCCACCGAAAATGGAACTAAAAAATCCACAATTTAAGTTGAGATATTGGTATATCTGCTTTGAGGAGTGTTTTGCACACTTTTGACAGCAGATACTTGCAAATGAGTCTAATCAGACTGAAGGCATGACATCTCAAAGTTTGAAGCTCAAAAAATACAATTTTGGAAAAAAGTTACTTGAAATTTAAATCAACTCCGAGCTGAAAATAATTAGCGTCGAACCGTTGCGCGACTTCACGTCATTCATAATTAACTAGAACACACTTGTTACTATTTCTTCGAGATGACAGAGAGTGTTTCCCATTACGAACTCTAATTCCAATTTTAACCCAACATGGCAAAAAACGATTTTCTGAAGAGAGTTTCATCTTGCGCCGTGGTCCTTTTCCATGGACGGTCGGATGAGACGAATTCCTGGTGCAAACAGATTCGCCTTCATCTCACAAGATAGGCAACAATTTAACCGCCAGCATGTTGGACTAGTTATTTTTAAACACTACTCCCCGAGTGGCTAACTAAGACTTGGTGTTCTGATGGATCTTACCTATTTGATGCTTATTTATTAAACCATCAAAACACGATTCTGCGACCAGCACGAATTTTTTAATCAATGAGCCGTGGCCGTGTGTTTTACCGTCTAAGAAATTCGAAACTTAGATCTTGAAAGAACAATTATTGGTAAAGAGAAAAGCCAGGTACTTTCGTTTTTGTGTAGGCATGGATTATATTGTAATACTCCTGCTGGACTATCAAACTAAAATTTAGTTCGATTTGGAATAATTACTTTTGAGCTCCTGAATATTTCGCTTTTGCGAATACTTAAATGGATGTACACACATTTTAAAAAAATACGAATTTCAATGACTAATATGGAATTTCCCGATCCTAAAACCATGTCATCAATTTCGAATTTGAAAAGAACGAGATTCTGAGAAAGCTGTATTGCCTTATTATGTAGCCAAAAGTTCGTTTGACGTGAATTGGTACCTAGCCTTGCGGCGACTTGACCTAATTTGAGATGCGCCTTTATCTGACCCATTTTCCTTTTCCTCGTTCAATCCTACAGCTCTGACGTGCAAATTAAAACGCTGTTAATACCTTCGTAGGTCATGCTACCTGGAATTCGTTTCAAATTGAGTCTAAATAGCGTGCATTGATTACTATCATTATGAGGGGAAGGGAGTGTTATTAATCACATCCAGAAATTCTAACAATAAGGAAACATGAATTTAACCGATTGGTTATCGTGAGCTTACTGGCATTATTTCGAAAAGTTTCCCATGAGCTTTATTGACAGTTATTTGGACCACGTTTAGCAGAAAGGAACTAAACCACATCAGCTGTTGCCAAATTTAACTGGGCAATTTTATTTTTTACAAGAGAACGTTCGTTTGTGTAGGGTCCTTTGCAAATTTTAAGGAATTCGCTTCGTATCGTGCAAAAAAGTCACAGAAATTTGCACAAAAATTCACACAACCGTTTTCATGTAAAAAATTAAATTGACCGATTAATTTGGCCATGGCTGATGGGGCTTGGTTCCTTTCTGCTTGACGCGGTCTATTTGACAGCTGAGTTCTGATAATTTTTCGAAAAATCATTATCAGTTGAGATTTTCTTCAAAATTAATGAGGAGAATTGGATCTCAAAACATCTGGTGGGCGAACCAAATGTTTATTCTCCTAGTGCTGAATATTTTGTGGTCTCAGGCATTAGCACTTCAATTGATAATGATAATAGCGTCAGGAAGTTCTTTAGAACTCTATTCGCAGATGAAAGCAGAGAATACGATGCTCATCGTGTATTCCGGGTCTTACCTAGTTTTCTACATGTAGTTACAATGTTACTTTTGAGGTAACAATAATTTCGGTCCCGGTAACGATATTTCGGTCTCGATGACAATTCTGCACTTTTATACCCAGACCAAAATAATCTATAACTTAAACGTTATATTATAACTACGGCTGGAAAAGAAAGCTGTGCTAGGATTTCACAGTTAAAATTGTGAGAGCAACATGCATTTTCCCTCTATGACTATCGGAATGTGGAATGGAAATGGAAAATAAGGAATACTCTCTGGCGTCAAATCGCATTGAACGTAAATGTTTATCAAGTGAACGACGGCAAAATTTTTAGAGGAATGAATACCTCCTGACATTTGATTATAATAATACTACATTCTGTGAAAATTATCAAATACTTTTTTGTAAAAACTTAGCTGTCACGGCTCATTCTGTTGTAATTTACACGGAAAGAACCAGAAAATCTAGATACAACTTAATTAACGCTTGTGTTGTGCTGATTGCCGCAGGAGTATTTGAAGGAGTTTTTAAGAGGAGGAATCATTTGAATGCGAATGCGAGTCTTTTCGTTGCTAAGCGAACTGACAAAGATAAAGTTTCGGCTTGCGTTTATACATTTGGAACCGAGGGCAGTAAATATAGTAATGGAGAGACGTTTTACAGCAAATCTATATCTCTTTTTTTTTCGCGAACGAACGTTGCTATTAATCCTTGCCTTCCGCTTAGAGTGAAAAAATCTATGATTTTTAGAGTTTTCTTTTCTTTAAGTCAACGTTTTTAGCCCTCCCCACAAGACTGTTGAGTTAATTAAGGTTATTGTATTATATGGGGTTCTCTCATTCTTCCGTAAATGCTTTATCAATCGCTTCATTTTACACCATAATAATTGATAGAAAATCGTTGTTCTTCTTTCGTACCCGCAACTTTTTGGTGGTCTCGCAATTTTAAGAAAAAGAAATGAGGAATAAAAATGGAGAACAGTTTTTTTTTCAGTTTTAAATTACACGTATACTGCATAAAAATGTAGGATATCTCGATAGAACCAAGATAATTTCGCGGTATTTGAGCCATGAAAAAATGTCACAGTAACATAAATTGTATTCTCGTTAAAACTCAGAACGGAACCATGCAAAAATCACCTATATAATCGTGAGCAAAGTAAAATAGTGTGGTTTATTTAAGTTTTCAGTTCTGTTCAATTTTTGTAGCACAAAAATTTCAACAAGTCTGTCTTCATTTGATCATGATTTTATTTATTTATTTTTTCGAGAAAAAACGGCCGAAAAAATTATTGTAGAATATACAACACGCCCACTAAATTACCTCACCATTGCTTTTGTATATAGATATTAAATAGCCCCACAAATCTAGATTGCTGTGCTCAAATTTTTTTTCTTTCCCTATTTGAGGAATTATTTGATTGATTTATACATGAGAATTTTACCTTATTTTTGTGGAAAAGTTGCAGAAAAAAACCTTGAAAGACCGAGAAAAAATCCTTCAAAATTTTCGCAGCGAACAAAGATCAGTCAACAATCCGTCAAAAAAGCAAAGTAGGTCAGAAAGACTGCAGCGTCATACACCGAGACATGTAATTTAAAAGTTTGATCATAAACAACGATTGCGTTCATAATTTTTCCAATTCTTCTCCTCTACTCCAAAGATTAGCTATTTTTGCATTGCCGCAACCATGGGTACAATAACCTCACGTGTCGATTGCGTCACCGTATGAAACTGGGATGAAAAACCATCGAAGGGATGAATCATAGCCTTAACAGGGGAAGGGGGTGGGGGACGGTTTGGAGCAATGATGAGGGACGGGGGGGGGGGNAGGGGGGGGGGGGGGGCGCCACCGCGCCTCCCTCTATTGATTCGCCCAAGATGCGTACGCATCCAAAAGTGATCCTGACCTTCCTTGCGCTAAAAGCTTTTTTTTCACAAACATGCCGCTATCTTAACAGATGCTTAGCTCTCTCCTCACTCGCGTTTTCCTCTTACTCTTTTTCTCCTTATTATTTGGGTGATACTAGAATCGGGAAGGAATGGAAGCTCAGGCCGGCGAGACTGGCTAGAGGCACGTGTTTACTTAGGGACAAAATTAATTAAGATAATACGAGGTTGTTTTGATGACGTCAATTTGCAATTCGCTAAGCTCGCTGGCGCTCGAGTCCAAGTCTTTACGATCTTGATTTTACCGATTTCACTTTCTGTCCGGCCTGAAATTAAAAATGACATCTAGGAGCT